CCCTTTGTTCGGTGCGATGGCCTAATGGTAATGAAACAGTCAATTTCTAATGACCCCCTCTCTCCCTGTGTCTTAATTATATTTTCTTGTTGTTTCTTTAATACCCTTTCCTTTATTTCATTGCTTTTCTTCACTATTTATAATACTATTTAAATGTTTTAAACCTTTTCTTTCCAATAAAATAGAGAAAAAAAGTGTTTTTACGATTTGTATTCAAATAAGGACTGCTTTTTATGGCACTTCAATGCCTACGGAATATTCACTTGTATTTTCTTATTAATAATCACTTCATTATTGTGGACTATAATTGCTGTCAATATTCTTCGCATACCTTTCATATCAAACTTTGAAAATATACTCAAATTATATAATAATAAAAATTTCCAAAGTCATCATGAAAAGCCATGCCATCAATAGGTGTCTAATAAATTAGCCTAAAATTTCTATCTTTAGGTCAAACACACGCTCATAGATATTACAGACATCACATACCGGTTCCCATGAATGAGCTGTCATTTATCCAGTAATTGCTTTCAGACGTAAATCAATTCAAACATCACTTTTTCAATATTTAACGTCAAAATTTGATTGAAATATTAATACCAAACAAAACATATAACAACTTCTAAAACAAAACAACTTCTAAAACAAAACAACTTTTATTGAGTATAATTAGTGAAAGAATTTGAGTTTCATAATTAAATCAAATGCAACTAATATTATATAAAACTTTGCTTTTAAAAAATAAAAATAGGAAAAAATTAAAATACATTTAAAAATATCTAAATTCAGTAAAAGTTTTCTCAATAAAAAAATGATAAATTAAAACATGAAATGAGGTCTTTATATAAATGTGTGTATAATTGCATTTCAAACGTTAAATCCGTAATGAATTTCATTATGTTTTCGCATTATTTGTCTGAATTTCACACAGATTTCCATTAGTAGAGTCGCGTCTTATTATAATTTCATTAATTATTTTCATTTATATATAATATATTAATGATTGAGAATTGGTTGACAAAAAATAATAAAACAATAGCAAAGTTACGGTTAATAACTCAAAAAACACGATTAAAAATAGAGAAAATATATCATATATTTGTGAAATGCCATCAAAAAAAGTGCGTTAAAGTCAGAAGCGATTCTTCGTTTTGCGGGCGTTTTTGATTAAATGCTTGACATCGAGACCGTCCGGCAGTTCCTGTTTATGGACCCGAAAATGTTTGCTTAAGTGATCCGATCGGGAGAAGCCCTTCGAACAGAACGGACAGATGTGTGTCTTCTCNTATTAATTAATTAATTGACTTACGCTTTCATTGCAAGAAATATGCCGTCTCTTGTCGTAATCGCAAACACAAATGTGCTGTTGATTGGGCGCCGGTAGGCAGAGGTGCGCGCATTTGGACGCCTGACACCGGCTCTCGATAAAGGGTTGTTTAGTGTTGTGTAATATTCTGATGCTATCGATGTTTTGGTCGGCTTTGATGATCGTCCTAACGTTAGCGCTTTTACCATATTTATTAGTACTGAGAATCGCATTCTGCACTCTATTCGACCAGAATATATAATCGCCGTAAATGTCGAGACTATTGGTCAGAGTAAACATATTTGTGTGCAAATGACTCGTCTTTTTGTTGCCGTCAAACGAAACCGATTCCAGTGTTTGAAGTTTATTGTCGATGAAAAACAATCGTCTCGTCTCGTAGTCAATGGTCAGACAACACGGGCTCACCGATTGGTAGTCATAGCCATAGAAACCCATATCCACTAAAATCTAAATTGTTTTTTAATGGTAAAACAAGTGTATGACTTAATAATATGTTTTGCACACATATTTTGCACTTAANGTTTGAAGTTTATTGTCGATGAAAAACAATCGTCTCGTCTCGTAGTCAATGGTCAGACAACACGGGCTCACCGATTGGTAGTCATAGCCATAGAAACCCATATCCACTAAAATCTAAATTGTTTTTTAATGGTAAAACAAGTGTATGACTTAATAATATGTTTTGCACACATATTTTGCACTTAATTGATTAAATTTCGAAACAAATAAAAAAATTTATATTAATAATGATTTAAAAGCTTATCAAATAGTAATTAATCAGAGGATGGAGTTGTGTGTTGACCTCCAACAGTGTTTCTACTGGTCTTATAATGAATATAATGCTAATTATCATAGACTCTATTAATTATGATAGAAATACCTTCTTTTGGTTTTCAATAATTAATTTAAAACCTAAATACTTAATGATTATATGAGACACGACTTACTTTCTGATTGGCGCCGCTTTGGTCAGCTCTCATGAGTTTGAAATCATAGGTCCTTTTGTCCAAACGGATCCATACAATAAACGATTCAATGGGATTGACCACAATATCGATGGCATTGAAGTTATCATTTTGTCGATCATATTTTCCGCCCACAAGTGTCTTCGACTTCTGGTTCTTAACATTAATCACTTTTATGTCTCCGCTTTCGATATAATACAGCAAATCGTGGACCCAATCGAGTGATATTCGCTGCACTTCTGATGTCTGCAATAAGATCTTCTTATTGCTTATGTTGAGTGAGTTTTTCACTCTTTTATCCAACGGTGCGATTATTATTGAACTAATATTACTCCAAATGAGATAATTATCGGATATATCGTAATCGATATCATTATTACAGCCACTGATACCACTGTTTGGCAGACTTCTGGCCGTTGGGCGACGACTTCGCCGGACGGATACTCTACGGATCTGTCGCTTATATATCGTGGGCTTTGATGTCAATAGGGTTTCGTTCAGCGATACGATCCTTATTTCACGGTTTGAATTGCAAAACAAGACTTCAGGACTTTTCTGTTCGTTAACTAATATATCATTCGTACAAATAATTTGTCGAAAAGTTAGACAAATTAGCGAAAATAAAAGCAATAAATTCATATTTGTATTTAAAAAGATCTTAAATAGTTTTCTAAACTTTGACACAAAATTGCATATATTTTGTTACACAGTAGTGAACACAAACTTTGGGTATTGTTAATGATTTTTTTTGCTAGTTTTCACTTAATCTTTATTTTATGACTTATAGATAGAAGAGTTTCCGAAGGAATGGCTCTGAAGAGTAAAAGTAGTGAATGACTGGAAGCCAAATATATAACTTATTATTTGATCCCTATATACAACACATAACCCTATTTTGAAAGTGCCATCAGTTTAATGGATAAACAGACTCTTGAGCTGAAGAACTACTCCACTGTAGGTATGGTTTACTCTAACAATAATATATAACCAGTTTTCTCGCAGCAAATAATTATACACTATATTATACAGAGTGTACACAACTCTCTCAGTATAAGAGATATTTTGTTAAGGTTTTTAACCGAATTGGTATCCCTTTGTTCGGTGCGATGGCCTAATGGTAATGAAACAGTCAATTTCTAATGACCCCCTCTCTCCCTGTGTCTTAATTATATTTTCTTGTTGTTTCTTTAATACCCTTTCCTTTATTTCATTGCTTTCCTTNCCCTTTGTTCGGTGCGATGGCCTAATGGTAATGAAACAGTCAATTTCTAATGACCCCCTCTCTCCCTGTGTCTTAATTATATTTTCTTGTTGTTTCTTTAATACCCTTTCCTTTATTTCATTGCTTTCCTTCACTATTTATAATACTATTTAAATGTTTTAAATCTTTTTCTTTCCAATAAAATAGAGAAAAAAAATTGTTTTTACGATTTGTATTCAAATAAGGACTGCTTTTTATGGCACTTCAATGCCTACGGAATATTCACTTGTATTTTCTTATTAATAATCACTTCATTATTATGGACTATAATTGCTGTCAATATTCTTCGCATACCTTTCATATCAAACTTAGAAAATATACTCAAATTATATAATAATAAAAATTTCCAAAGTCATCACGAAAAGCCATGCCATCAATAGGTGTCTAATAAATTAGCCTAAAATTTCTATCTTTAGGTCAAACACACGCTCATAGATATTACAGACATCACATACCGGTTCCCATGAATGAGCTGTCATTTATCCAGTAATTGCTTTCAGACGTAAATCAATTCAAACATCACTTTTTCAATATTTAACGTCAAAATTTGATTGAAATATTAATACCAAACAAAACATATAACAACTTCTAAAACAAAACAACTTCTAAAACAAAACAACTTTTATTGAGTATAATTAGTGAAAGAATTTGAGTTTCATAATTAAATCAAATGCAACTAATATTATATAAAACTTTGCTTTTAAAAAATAAAAATAAGAAAAAATTAAAATACATTTAAAAATATCTAAATTCAGTAAAAGTTTTCTCAATAAAAAAATGATAAATTAAAACATGAAATGAGGTCTTTATATAAATGTGTGTATAATTGCATTTCAAACGTTAAATCCGTAATGAATTTCATTATGTTTTCGCATTATTTGTCTGAATTTCACACAGATTTCCATTAGTAGAGTCGCGTCTTATTATAATTTCATTAATTATTTTCATTTATATATAATATATTAATGATTGAGAATTGGTTGACAAAAAATAATAAAACAATAGCAAAGTTACGGTTAATAACTCAAAAAACACGATTAAAAATAGAGAAAATATATCATATATTTGTGAAATGCCATCAAAAAAAGTGCGTTAAAGTCAGAAGCGATTCTTCGTTTTGCGGGCGTTTTTGATTAAATGCTTGACATCGAGACCGTCCGGCAGTTCCTGTTTATGGACCCGAAAATGTTTGCTTAAGTGATCCGATCGGGAGAAGCCCTTCGAACAGAACGGACAGATGTGTGTCTTCTCTCCCGTATGCGACCGCTTGTGTCGCGACAACTCATCAGACCTGACAATCAAACCATAAATTCATAATTAGTCACAAATAATTCAAATATAAGTATGTTTTACGGATTTTTTTTATCTAATTAGTAAACCCATTGAATGACTCGACTATTTGTCAAAAATCGTTCAATTTATGGCACAAAATCCGTTTATTTGCAATTAATTATATAATTTTAGTGATAATACTATTTATGTGTTTATATTTTAACGAAATATACAACAAATATAAATGCAAAAAAAAAGGGTCACACCTTGAGAACCTCCAGTCACAGTCCGGCCAATTGCAGACATACGGCTTCTCTCCTGTAATTAACAATTGATTACAATTAAAACAAACATAAAAAACAATTAACAAAAGCACTATTTATTATGTCTGGACATACAGCTGCCTCTACTCGCCAGTCTACTGACCTGAATCATATCCGCCGTGTTGTCGGGAGTTGCCCTGTCGTTATCAACGCGCCTAACCCACAGTGGCTTTTATAGACATCACTTGAGGCCGTGGCGTCGCCGCCGGCGCTCTTCGTATGATTGGTTCCGTTGATGTTATGACTCTTTCTCATCACTAAACTGGCGCTCATGTCGTCGTCGCTGAGGAGTAGCCGCTCGTCATCGATGCCATCGTCGGGCTCGTCGTCATCATCGTCCTCCCCGTCTTCGAGATGCGTCTCCACTTCGATGGTATGCAGAGGTGAGCCCACGCGCACCACTTGATGCACGTGTGAGTCCACGTGCTGTCGGAAGGCGTCCATCGAGTCGAAGTCGAGAGTGCAGTCCTGCCACTGGCAACGGAACGTCTGGCCCGATGTCTGTGGGCCGCACTGCTGGTCCTCCTCTTCGTCCTCGTCGTCGATGCCGTCCGTAATCACAATGTGTTGTTGCGGTTGCGCTCTAATGGGTGCCGAGTGTTGGGCCAGAATGTGCTCGTGTAGGGCCTGTTTGCTGGCGAACAGAGTCTTGCATTCAATGCATATGCAATCCATTGATTGCAGTAATTGTATTGTCATTGCGTTTGTCGTTGAGGTCGTCGTCTGAACGCCTTTTTTGCCTAACATTTGACGACTCTTTGTGTGCGGAAGTGATCGATGAATCGGCACTTTATTCACACCAATTGATGACAGGCTGTTCCCATTCAGGTGTTGATCACCGGCTCCTTTGCCTACTGTCGCTGTGGTTGTTGTTGTTGTTGTCAACCCTTTGCCGCACTTCACTCTCGACAACACTTTCTGGTCGACCATTGCGTTGCCTTTTGCCACCTTTTGTTGCTTTTCAATGGCTTTGGGTTTAATAATCGTTATCTTATTCTTCTGGTTATGATTATCGGCGCCATTCTTGCCGCCCATCGGCTCAAACTTCACGATCAGTGGCCGCACAGATGATTGCGATGACAGCGCGTGTCGAGAGTCTACACAAATGACAACAAAACGATAAGTAATTCATTTGTAAACATAAATCATATGTAAAAACAATCAATAATTTATTATAACATAAAATAAATGTCATAAACAAAGAGACATAATGTTTGTGTCAAAACAAGTGACGCAAACATTGATTATATGATTACCGAAGAAGTTGTGGGGAATTATAACAGTATTGGTGTCGATATTAAAGGCCCCGATATTTACATAACTATTATTAATATTATTATTAAGACTATTGGCCTCAAGTGTGTGGTCGTCGTCGTCGTCACCGGCCATCAGATCCATGTCATGGCTGACGATCACCTCTTCATCGGTGGTGACGAGTGGTTGCTGTTGTCTGGCATTAGGTTTGCCATTGTTTTTATCATTAATACTATTATTATTAATCACTTGTTTAGCATTGGATCCCTTTTTGGGTGACTTTTTGCTCATTTTGTTATTGTTTCGCAAAATATCACTCATTTTAGCGGACAATCAAAACGCCGATCAGTTGTCAATCGATGGAATCGGAGCTTATTTTGGACTCAATTACACTCTTGTTGTGGTTATCGTTGAATATAAACAACAGTTTAAATGCAATCAAATTGTTATACGAAAAGCAAACCAACAATTAGTGACACATTTGACGATTAAATGCCATTTAAATACACAATTGAATCACAAATTGAGTGCCAATTGATTACATGCTATGCTTTCCGTCCGTTTGAATCGCTTTTCGCACCAAATGTTGTAATCATTTTAGTTTACATTTAATTAAATCATAATTTCATTTCATTATAAGTTTTAAATAAACAGATGTTTTGTATTTTGCATACAATTTGTTAAATAATTTGTGTTTTAATTTTCATTATTATTATTACATTCACTGAATGTTGTGATTGAATGGCAAATGCATTGTTTAGTGCGTTGAGAGTAGCGCTCGTTATAACCGGTTAACTGCGCTCAACATTACATAAAGACTTTAACGCTTAGCGCCAATGAGTGCACAGTTTGTCAGTTAACACACTATTCGTTTGACTCGAAAGAGCCGTATTGTTTGATAAAACACTGTATCTGTATTAACGTTGAAGCAAACAGTTATCCGGTTTTAATTGTCACTCAATATAACACTACTTTTACATGTATTTCGTAATCAAATACTTTATTTGAATTGAAATTTGCATAAAAATGTAGTTTTCATTCATAGAAAGCATTGATTTATTGGCAAAAGCAATGGGTTTTCGTTATTTCCCATTGAATTTAATGTTAAAACTTTGCCAAAAACTTATACACAAATACTTTTTTCCTCAATAAATACATATCTAATTAATAACTAATTTATGACATTTTATTCATTAAAATATTAGCTCTATATTTAAAACGCTTTTTTACTTTTAATTATTGTATAAAATATAAATAAAAACTTGGAAAAAATGTTTAAACAAATGTCTTCTCAGACCTGCTTTGGCATTGATTTAGGCTTTCATTTCATACGACAACTCAAATAAGGTGTCGAAAAAGTTAACAATTGATTTTTGATAACAATTATGGTTAGATTTGCATTGATTTGAGAGTCAAAAAAGGTTTCGTATTAAATGAATGCAAAGTCATGTCCATGGTCAATTTGTATGCGGAGTTATTTTTAACGGAAAAAATAGATATAATATATCATAATCAATTATCAAAAATTACATGATTAAACATTTATTTATGAACGTGATTTAAGAGGATCAGTAAGGTGAACAATTAGATCTAGCCACGCCGATGGCATCCACACCATGAGCTGCACTACTATCTTAACCCAAACACTTTCGGTGGGCGTATACATGAGGCGGGGCTCAGAGTTCTGTATGGCATCGATCATATCGTTTGTGGCCACATCGAAGTTCTCGCTCAGTTTGAACATAGCCGTACTCGATGCGATTATAGCTTTGAAATCATGCTCACTTTTTGGACCATAAGCGTTTTTCACGCCATCACTGGTATGACTCCACGTGCGACAAATCTTGTCATACCTGAGCGTCTCGTTTGCACCGGGAGTGTGAAACCCTCCGGGCTCTACGATAGACACGCGGACGCCAAATGACCGCATTTCCCGACGCAATGTGTCCGAGAAGGCTATGACCGCGTGTTTGGACATTGAATACCAGGCGAATAATGGGAGAGATATGTGACCCAAAGTACTCGCCACGTTCACCACACGACCTAGATCAATTGTTTGGAAGAGGTATGGATGAGTGAAGTGAATTGTTATCAAGTTTTTTTTTATACAGCGTGTGTGCATAACTTATACAAAAATAGTGTATTTAGTAAATAATTTTACAATAAAATTTTTAGTAAAATTAATTATGTGTTTTAACTAACCCTTTGACGCCCGGATAAGAGGCAGGAAAGTACGGGTCACTCGTATTACTCCAAACATGTTTACGGCGAATATTGGTTCATAGATTTGGGGCGAACCCCACTCCACATAGCTATCGGCTGTAAGGCATGCGTTGTTTACCAGCACCCACAGGCAATCACCATGGTCATTTTCGTTTAAATGCGATTTAACATATTCGTAGGCACTTTTAACCTGATCATCTTTGGTCACATCCATGCCTATGACATGCATTTTATGTGCAAACTGTGCCTTAGAGGCCAACTGCTGTGCGCCGGCACTGGACTCGGACACGACGGTCGCGTAGACTCGAAACCCGCGTTCATTGAGACGCAGCGCCAGGTGGTGGCCGAGGCCTGTGTCACAGCCTATAAAGTTATCATTAGATTCAATTCATTATTGTAAGAATATTTAAAAATTCATAATTTTATTAAATTATTGATTATATGGTACTGTACACTGAGGAATAGTCTAAATAGAATTTGTATCCCCACACCCCGCTATCGCCCCTACGCGAATGTTTCGCTGTCAAACACCATACAGTACAAGCTGTAAATAACAGTCACTTTTAAAGTGTTATAAAATTTAAGTAATAAATGATTAAATGTCAATCAAATTAGCCTATTTTGTTTAAAACAACATTTAATCTATAATTAATAAATGTTAAAATAGACTTTAAAACATATAAATGATTTAGTAGTATTTAATGTATTTTGTATAGAGTGTGTACTGTACGGTGTTTGACAGCGAAACATCCGCGTAGGGGCAATAGAGAGGTGTAGGGATAGGAATTGTGTTTAAACTTTTCCTCACTGTAGTTAATCTGCATGTATCTGAAAATATAACAATGTAATATTTATTAACTGAAAATAAATGCATTACTAATTTAATTAGTAACATACCCGTTATTAACACTGCTTTACCCATTGAACTAAGCAATTTTTTAGGTTTTAATTTATACCATAATTTAATTAATAAGTATAAGAGAAACAATACTATCAACATATTGCCATAAATTTCCATTTTGTACTCATCAGCAAACATAAGGACAACTATTGTAGATCATAGATAATAATTAATAAGCGCACAAAATAATTAAATCAACTAAATTATATTATTATTTTAAAATTAAATGATTTATAATTTAGTATTATTCTTACTAAAATTGTGGTAGTGATGAAATATTAAACAGAAATTATTACAATTTTACATAAGTTATAAATTCATGGAATTACATATTTTTATTAATTCATAATTCAATGAATTCATAACTTTTAGATTATTTCTATTTAATATTTGATCGCTACTACAAAAGTAATGATAATTCTAATAATAACTTATGATAATTTGTAATTTTTATCTGTAAATAAATTTTATTTTAATGTGGTAAATGTTTATATCCATCCTAAATATTCTGTTATAAATTTGTTTATGTATACTTATGATCAATAAATTATATCAATACCAAATTTATTGATTTTTATATTAAAATATTTACATGATAAAAATAAACTAATGGCATAAACCACTACTTTTAAAATCACATAATACTGTATTAATAGCTTGATGAATTTATTACTAATAACAAAATTTAATCAAATTCAACAAGAATTGCATAAGGTTTTACATTACTAACTTATAACGTATATTTGAAAACATAATTAAATAAGTATTAATTTATGACTTTAATTTAATATAATTATAAAAATCGTATGTTTTAGAAATCCATTAAAACTAATAAAGAGAGCACTTGCTGTTAGATATTGTAATAGAAATTTTAATAATGAATTTAAATATAAAAGTGCAATGAGTTGTAATGACTACGCGATTGCTTGGATTGATTTGGGGGTAAAGTATCGGTCATTGTTTGCCAGAAATGAGAGAATAGTGTTGAATGGGTTGAGTGGGGGCTCAGAGTTGGGCGCAATGACAGCAGTGATGGGTCCGTCCGGTGCGGGACTCACATCACTGCTGATGTGTTTCGCAGGTGTAATGTCAGGGCCACTGATGACCAGTAGTGGTGATAGTAGTGGTGATCGCGAGTCAGCAATACGTGTGAGTCGTGACCGCAAAATACGGACCGCTTTTATCGGCCTCAACGAAAAGGATTTCCTGATTATGGGTTTGACTGCAAAGCAAAACATGATTTACGCCTCGAAACTAAAGAACTCATCAGAAGAGCACTTCTCACACGAGAAGAATGTGTCGGCGATTATGTCTTCACTGATGATTGCGGACACAATCGACACAAAGACCGGTCGATGCAGTGGTGGAGAACTGAAACGACTGGCCATTGCTGTCGAGTTGACAGCACTTCACAAACCAAACCTCATATTATGTGACGAACCGACCACTGGTTTGGACAACAATATCGCAGAAATGGTCAGTAATTCGCTGTACAGTACAGTACTTGTAAACTATATACAGTATAAGATTGTTCAGAAATAGTTTCCTTTTACTTATAACTTTAAAACTAATCAAGATAATTTGATTCGGTCTTCGGATTATAATAACACTAGCCTATGTCCACATCTCATGTAAAATTTATTAGGATTGATTAACATAAGAGTATTTATTTTAAAAAACTGAGAAAAAAATTGCTCAAAAAATTTATTGAAATAACAAAACTTTTTTCTCGTTCGATAAAAGTTATAAGTAAAAGGAAACTTTTTTTTCTGTACGGTCTACGATGTCTGTCCATTACATGTCTGTCCAACAGGTGATGCAATCACTGAAGAGTTTGTGTCAAAAGCACAACATCTCAATCATTGCGTCCATACATCAGCCCAACACAGATATACTGCAAATGTGTGACAAACTCTATGTGTTGGCCAAAGGGGGTGAGTGTGTGTATTGGGGCCCTCCCTCTGCCCTCAGCCCACACTTACACACATGTGGTATAGTATTGAACGAAAATCAAGTGCCGATCGAAACGTTGATTACAATCGCATCCAAAGGTCTGAGCGATCAAAATGTGCGGCAATTGAGAGACCAAACGACCCGTCAATTCAATCATGAATTTAGAGATATTATTGTCGACAAAACGAAACCAAAACTTATTAAACATAACAAATCGCATCCAAAGGTCTGGACGATGAAAATGTGCGGCAATTAAGAGACCAAACGACCCGTCAATTCAATCATGAATTTAGAGATATTATTGTCGACAAAACGAAACCAAAACTTATTAAACATAAAAATAAATCATTTTCTCTCAAAGATGTCTGGATTTTAGCCAAAAGATCTTTGAGCGAAATATTTCGCTACAAATGGAAAGGACTGGCAATCAGTTCACTAATCATGATATTTACGGCTTTATTGGGCTGTAATTGTTTTGATAGAAATGTCGGTCAATTTAACGATTGTGTTGTAATCGACAGCAGAGAAGAAGCAAAAAATCATACCTCATGTCTGGATCAGCTCGACTCAGATAATAAAGCTTACGATAATGTAATATTAATTTTATATAATTTATGGTTGTTATCGTTTATGCAAACCATTTGTACGATTGCTTTATCGTTGGACTCTTTCACCCGATTTAATACTGAACACCAAAATAGTTAAGTCATTAAAGTTTTATATTATAACTTATTTTCAAAATATGTTATAAATTATTACTAATAATTAAATTTATATTTTGTTAATGAATTTATTTAAAATACAATTTATAGACTGGTATAGCAGTGGTGTATATTTTATGACACAAAACATATTGAATATAATTCCCGTTACAATCAATGGCTTAATAATAGCCGTAATTGTATTCAATATGAGTTCACAATTGAATGAATCAAAAAGGTTTTGGCCTTTCGTTTACTTTTATGTGATTTCAATTCATATAAGCGATTCAATCGGATATTTATGTCTATTCCTCATATCAAACACACAGTTGTGTTTTGTATTGGGATTTATGATCATAAATATGAACCAATTATATAATACTGTATCAATTTATTTAAATGATCTTGGTGATATAATGAACGCATTTGGAATTTTCGTACCATCACTATTTTCATCTCCTGGCCTACTTGTGAGCATTTATGGCCTCAATCGTTGCACTGATAGCAAAGTGTCCAAGGTGTTGTTTAAACGCAATATTGATTATACTGATGACACAGTATCTAAAAATATGATTTATCTATTGATTCAATTTACTTTCTATAAATTAATGACATTCATTGTTTTACTTATTGTTAAAAATCCAAATATATTTCTAAATGTTGTTAACATTTTGAAGCAAAGAATATTCACAATATATAGGGATGTAAATAATCAAAACATTATAGAAATGATAACTATTAATGAAAATAATGACCAAAACAATGAAATGGTTGAAATTGAATCTGATTTACAAGAATTGAGTCCACAATTGGATGATATAATAGCCTCTAAAGCATTGAGTATCGCATGGATTGACTTAACACTAAAAGTGGACAAAACATTAAATTCATCGGAAAAAGTCATTTTACGGACAATTAAAGGGTTCGTAGAGTTCGGGTCTTTGACGGCACTCATGGGTCCGTCCGGTGCGGGAAAGACATCACTATTGCGGGCATTGAATGGCATGAATAAGACATTAATTACCAAACAATCGGAGATTTATTTGAATGGGAAAATGAAAATCACGGCCTGTTTTATAGCTCAGGATCAAAGGGAACACATTATGGCCGGAATGACTACAAGACAGACCATTATCTATGCCTCAAAACTAAAAAATTGTGACACCAATAGTAATGTCGATCACGAGTCTATTGCCGACAAATTGATGTCTGAGTTGTGTTTAAATGATATTTCAGCCATAAATGTGGAGAATTGCAGTTCTGGTCAACAAAAGCGGATAGTAATAGCGATGGAAATGACGGCTGAAATCAAACCAAACCTCATATGTGTTGACGAACCGACTTCTGGTGTCGACAGCTATTCAGCAATTTTGGTATAAAATATTTTTGTGAATTATTTTAAATAATTTATTAGATTTTAAATTTCTTTTACACTAAAAGATGATAAAATGCTTCAAACGTTTGTCCCGTAAACACAATATATCAATGATTGCATCCATACATCAGCCAAACCTCGAAATCCTAATGTTATTCGATATGTTGTATATATTGGCCAAAGGAGGGGTTGCGGTATACTCGGGTCCGCCCCGGGGTTTGCGCTCACATTTAGATCAATGCAATATTCAATGCAATGAAAACCAAATATCAATTGAAGTACTCATTAAACTGTCGGCCAACGGATTCAGTGATGAGAAAGTGATGGAATTGTCTCAAAAAACAAATCAAATAATAAACAAATACATTGAAAGGATTCGCACAGAACTGGATATCTC